TATATATATGATGTGTGCTAATACATAAAGAAGGAGAGGTCATAAAATTTAATTCTCGAGTGCTCTTCGATCATTGACTTCGAATACCAACTGTTGCTTTTAAAGTTCCATTGAAACTATGTCTAAAACTATAATAAAACCGATGTATAGCTTAATTATACTGCCCATGTTTTCGATGGTAATAAATAACGGGTTCTGAAGAACTGCATTTTACGCAACACATGTTGGCCTTTCCTATAATGCTTTGTATGAGACAAGGAAAGCGTTAAATTATATATTCCTATGCGCATTGGAAAGTGGCTGTTATTTAGTATATTGGCAAAGGAAAATTAGTTGTGTTCTATAGCTTAACTTAATTACGTTCGTTTGTCCTGTCGTTTTTTCTATTGCGCAGTCGAATAATCCACGGCCCCCATATCTAGCTGCCACAGATTATGTCTTCTACGTGCGGAGACAGACAGCCGCCTGTCAGGCCGCTCGAAAAAACGCGGACGGAGTTCACGAAGCTTCGATGGAGGAACTCACAAACTTCACCGACCTTATGCGGAAGCTTAAGGACGACCTGAAATCTTCATACAGCAGGTAGGTGGAGTGACGGGCACTGACGATCGAATTAAGAACCCAGTGAACCCGACCCGAGTGACTGTGAAGACATCTGAATAGCTGTATAAGTTCTCAATGGACACTTGCAATACATTCTATGCATCGTGCGAGTCGGCTATTGTCACTTTAGTTTAATCCGATAGAATTGGCCCATTTAGCTATCTCGCAACAGAACTTGAAGAAAAGGGGCTCGTTGGTACAGCTGTCGCCAATTGTCTCCCGATTTTGCCCTAACGTTTTCATGAAAACTACGTAACACGTAAACTATTCAGATAAGCTATTTTGTGTGCATGTCCAATATAAGATACGCTGATTGGTCAACACAAGATTGGCACCAGAAAATACTGACAGGCTCTACTGATCCAAACTATCAGAATTTAGGTTTACTACTTTGTTTTACGTTTTAATTCAGATTATTTCGTTCCCAGCGTCATCCGTAATATATGAAAGCCGTAAGGCTTTCAAACAATTTGAGTTAGATATCTACCATCCAGCTTTCTTCTAGCGTCCTGTCCGTGGCAACTTGCACCGATCCCTGCGATTGAGCCAACAATCGATCTCATCAAAACGATTGCGTTCTATTTGCTCATAAGTGATGTTGTTACTGTTAGCGGTTGTATTTACGTCGGTCAAAAACAGCGCGTTAAAACAGTAACGACTCAATTAGTTTTTCGTTTGGCAAACGCTGCATGAAACCTTGAGATATTTGTTTAGTAACGTACTTCTTAGTTCCGACATCCTATGCCTCCGCTACAAATGTCTTTCAATATGCCTGTGTAATAGATGAATGTAGCATACTTTTCGGTTCGCAATAATAAATTGGTCTATGCCAATCCCTCGGCCGCACTATAATACCTACGTATGCCTGATGATGCTGGGCACGGTGACAGTCCTGTTTCAGTTTATTGGGGATTTCGAAATCTGGTCTGGTCGGTAAATCAAGATCGACTTTGCATGAAGGCTGTCTATTTTGACGAGAACTCTATTTGTACATATACACGCGCCATGCACGCATGACATTGACGACATTAATTTGCTCACTGTGACGCCCGCCTTGGTCGCACCATTATCATTACGATCGGCGTTGAGTCTGCACAAAGGACGGCCTACCGCTGCTAGCCCGCATGCTTCTTAATTCGTCACGGCAACGATGACGACGTCTTATTGCTGTTGTTGTATTTTTTTTTTTTTAGCGTAACATTTTCTGTTGTCGAGGCATTCTGCAACCAGCTCCATCATCTCATCTGCTTGCTCTCCGTCGCCCGCCGCCAGCCACCGTTCGCCCCACCCCTACAATGGCTGATTTTCGACAGGCGTTCATTTATACATAGATTTATGCGTAGTGAATTGCTTCTTAGCAAGATTTCTCGTCGATACATATATTCATCGATTTTGTATCGGATCAGCAAACTGCATGGTTTTTTGGTTGTATTCTGTTATGTCGGCGCTGTTGCCGCCGACGACAGTTTATGCTTGGCCAGTTTCTCGTTCTGCCGCTCTGCTGTGTTTACTGTCATTTACGTGTGTCCACAGCGTTTACGTAGTTGGCCGGCTAAGTTAACACTCTCACACACACACACACACCCACTGGCTGTCGGTTGGCTTACGACTCGCTAAAGTGGATGTGTTTATATTCAACAGATGGGACAAGGAAAAAAAAAAGCAGAATAATTGGAATGAGAGGAAAAAAGGTCAGCTATTTTAACGGCTAGGTACGATCAGCGATAGCTCCCTTAACGGTACATAAAGCGAAGTGCAGGAAACAACTGATGGCATCGGCGGCGGATCAAACGCTGGAATTGTTTCGTTCGGTGGTGAAACAATTATCGTGGCTATCATTGAATCGTGCCTAATCAATCATCAGCTCATGTAGACGCATTTACTTGTTGGTGACCAGCACGTATCTATATATGTAGCAATAGTACTTTTGTATAAAAGTACACACATCCACCCACATTACAAGTCAAAATACGCGCGCACCCCAAACTCTCGTCACAGACGACCATCTACGATTAGTAGAACTGTATTGCATATATCGAAAAGTGCACTCAAAATTATATAGGAACCTGCCCTTATTGATATCGTAATTTCGAATTACTCGGGCATAGACGCGTCCCAAAGCGCAACGACCAAATCATATTAGTTGGTTTTATCATAGACTTTTTTCGCTGTGGAAACCTGGACGAGTATCGTTGCGCTATAATGTGACGCTTTGAAATTTTGCGGGCATAGCAGAGGCAGCAGAAAAATAGAATGGTGCGTTTCCCGCTAAAAAGACAAACGATAGCCGCTTGAAAGACGCCATGAACGAATGGGCGCGGGAGAACTTGAGACGCAGACAATGGGTGACCCGGCGTATATGGCGACGTAAAAAACGTCACCCTGCAATAAAATAAATTTGTCAAAAGCTACTGCATTGCCTACTGCAAAGGGACATAGCCATCGTCTGAACGCTCGTCCAATCAAAGCTGAACAGCTGAGACGCTTGCCAATGTACAAACAAGTGACGCATGAAGCACGCGCATATGCACGACACATAGTTACAATGGAGACAAGTGCACAGAAACACCAATCAGTCTAACAGCAGCTTACCCAGATATCTCGACTGAACGATGCATACATAGGTACTAATGATCATGAATATTAATCAAATTTGGTCAGGTGTTATTGTTTTTGGGTCACTGACAAGACATAATGTCGTCGTACAGGTTCACGCAAAAACCGTACCATGAAAAACAGTATAGGTGTATGTTGACTGGACACTTCGTTGATCCGGCCGACTGCGTACATCGCATATAATGCTTTGCATACGCAATACTACAGACAGATTATATATATATATATATATTATATAGGCTTACATTTTTGCGGTAACGCGTACAAATGTTTGTATGCTTCTCAAAGAGCTTATATAAAGTATACACATATATATATATATATGAAGTAAGATAAGTTGAGTCATTGTTATTACACGGTACAAAGCCATTGTGGCACTTGATGCTAGTAATAAATATACTTTCTGCTTTTCAGTTTTGTAGAGGAGTTTGTGACAGATCCAAATGACGGGGTAGCCCTGCTCTTAGACCTGTTGAAGATCTATAGACGAGGCAATCAACAGGAGCACTTGGGGCATCCTCTAACCCTTCGAAATAACAAAGATCGCCAGCAAATCATAAAAAAAAATATGGTGAGTTGTTCAATTTGGCTTTCAAATTCGTTTATAACAATTGCGCTTAGACAATAGTCGTTCTTGCCGCATTTATTCCAAGAGCCAATTCCGACTGTAACAATTGATTTATGTAGAAACGATGGTACACATGTGATAAATAGGGTACTCGCTTAGACCCGGATCAAACCTAATTCTCAGAACGCAACGTACCCACTTAGCCAATATGTCGAAGTATTAAAAACGTTGCTCTTTGTATTTTCGTGAAACTACTATTACGTACGTATGTATTGCATGTATCCACATTACTGCCACGTATTGTGTGACTGGGACGAGTACTGCTTAGTAATGCTAATGAAGTTCAGATAGACATTCGGGATGAGCGATAGACGAGCGCCCAAATAGGTGCGGACGATAGCGCTGGCCGCACAGACAACTTGAACGATCAGAATAAGGCCAATGTACGAGGACGCATCTGATATATCACCTTCTGAAATAGCCAGACCACCAATTACGAATTAAGGGTGATTAAGACTTGTCTGTGTCGGACGCGTTTAATATTAGGATCTACTTTTTGAAGTCGCTCATCAACGATCTGAATCGTATTCTTATCATTACCTCATAATATTCGAGACATTTAGCTTTAATTATAGTCGCGGTTACTCCTAGTCAATTAAGTTCCTAAAAATAGCTTTATCCTTTACGTCTGTTTGATCTTCCAATCGATGACAAGTTATCCGTCTCGTTTCGAATTTATTCGAAAAAGGCCGAAATTTATTTATCAACCTGAAGCTGAGCTAGTAAATTTCAAAAAAAAATTTATCAAGGTGAAGTTCTTGGAAACATGGCCGCAATGATACATGCTCTTTTTCAACACAACGCATTGACTTGGAAAGGCACTGGCCCAACTTTACGGGGCTTTATATTGTAGCCCTGTATTTGCCGCGATTGCCGTGTCCTTCCCTCTGTTGGCCTAGTCCAGTTGTGCTGTATTCGGCGCCCATTTGATTATAACAGTGCATTCGTTTGTATATTTGTTGGCACCGGGTCGTTTTTTCAGACCTAAAAATCGTAGCGGGGATGATTGGACAATTGCTGTTGTGTACCGTAATCAGCAATTACGTCATGGCAGGTTCATTATCTGCGGCTGGTTCCCTGAGGCATTAAATGCTGCGTCTGCTGTGGTGACCATAGCAAATGAGGAAAGCCAGCAGCGCGCTATAGGGATTCCCACGAATAATACAGTATTCCATGTATTAGATCGTCTTATATGTTTCGTTTTGTATTTCGGGATGGTCCAGTTACGCTCATCACCTTTTCACACAACTTTTGAGCATTAGCATCGCTAGGAGATAAGATACTGTGACCGACCGATTTTTCAATGCCAAAAATCACTCCCATTCCCCAGTAAACGAACATTCATTCGTTTAACGGGATGGTGACGGGTCTTCCATGATGGTCATAGTTATAATTCTTGGCATTATTATCACTTGTCGTAGCAACAATAATTGTTGACAATGATGACTTATTAGGTTGAACTCGTTTCGTCTGTCATAGACCCTTGTCAAGAACGAGAGAAACGCACGTGTCAAGACGTTTGTACAAGAGTACACGAAACAAAAACAATATACTACCCTGGTTAACAAATAAGATTTGTACAACTGGCAAACATCTTATTTGTATCCGACCCACGGATAAGCTTAGATATGTATATAATACATAGAAATTAATTAAATACATACCTCTATTTATATATAGGATATAATTCTTAATTATAACAAGTTTATATTATAATTGGTAATTTACTTCTGCCCAACACAGCCCTAGTCGCCACATATATCGGTCATCATTGGAAATTCATTACAAGCTCCCTTCTACCTGCCGATGACGACGCTATCGTAGGACAAAAGGACATTGTAGCTAAGAGTGGCAAACATGCCACAGTTGTGCTGCGATAGAGCTGTAAGTTGAGCTCGTTGCTATGATTAGAATGCCCGTCTCGTAAAGAGGTATTTTTTTTCTAGAGCTTAGATACTTGACTCATCCTAGTCATTGGACGAATGGCTGTCGGGCGGGTCACTAGGATATGGCTATTTTCCAAATGAAAATTTCTACGTTGTTCTATTACATCAAGTCGGAACCGTAGGGTTTTAAGGAAAATCCGCTTGCATAATAAGAGAAAAGAAAATCTATCAAAGTCTAGCTAGAAACACGAAACCAAACTATGGCGGCCATTTCAAATCACCGTTATTGTCAAAGTTGTTCACGTTTAGTGCGCGATAGTCGAAAACCCGGAAATTAGTCCATAGCTTGTAAAAGATAATATGAAAGATGGTACATCTTAAGACACCGGCCCAGATGTCTGCGATTGGACATAGGTTTCAAAGGCTCCAAATCTCATGGAAACGTCGTGTTTTGATAGTCAAATATGGGCCCGATTTAGAAAAAAAAAAAGCATCTTGTTCCTGTTGATTCGTCGATAGGTACTCAAGCTACTGCAAAACGTTTGGCTTTTAAAATATTTTTTTAACCTTTTAGCCCCTTGTATATCCCAGATCGCCTTAGATCCTATGGATAGGAGACGCACACATTAGTGAATCGATGATTCTACATGTATGTCTTACTTATCTTCGCAATAAACTTCTAGAAATTATGCTGTAAGTTTTGTCTACAGCATCTACGCAGATATATAGTTTGGGCATGTCCAAGCCAGTACCTCACGCAAGCTAATAATGCAAGTTGAATTTCGATTAAGAAAAGTTAAAATTTCCAACGATGAGGAACTTATGACAAAAATGCAAAACACAAATGGCCAATAACAATACAAATGAAATTGATTCATCACCTTGCATTTATTACATCTGTGGATTTTACAGTTTCACCGATACCGACCTCCATTGGTCGGCGCCGATATTTGGCAAATAGTCCGGTACACTTTTATCTTTCGAGTCCTCGTTTTCGAAAACGATCAACCGTTTCTTACATCGGTAGCACTGGACCAAATGATGGGTCGGGAAAACGATAGTATGTTTCAATGGGGAAATGACGATCATTCACAAAAAAATAGTAACGTCGCTACAAAAAAAAATATCATCGTTAAACAGCCAACGACCAAATGATGCCAGTTGCAGACATGCAGTGCTGAGCGTCTAGATCGGCGTCACTGCCTGCCCGTTTAGTTTTCCTATATAGCTATCTATCAATGATTGACCGGACCACTAAGCTGCTTTGTGGCTAAGCGAGTTGCGGATCCACTTCGTCGTTTCATTATATTCTATCTATTTTTCCGTCACTGCTGGTTACCGATATGTTGAGACAGTGGAACGTAGAGATTTGTTGCTCCGCGAGAGCTCTTTATGATGGGCCATCGCTTCTCATCGACGAAGGCATGTATCTGGACGGATAGAGACTCGTGGATGATTTCCATACAATGAAAAAAAGAAAATCACACAAAGTGATCAAGGCTGAGACAACTCGAAGTTGCGAAACACATGGCCGTACGTGACGCCGACTCCTGACGCATATCGTGGCCGTGTCATGACGCGACCGTATTCGTAGTCGAAAGGCCAATGTCCGCTTCACTATTTGTGACTCAATACCCGATAGGTCAAAATGTAACTGAGTATCTTCCGTCTCACGGGGGCACTTACAGAACCATAAAGCCCTTTCCTAAACGAATAGAATACTAGAATTTGTTCACGTATTACATGTAAAACACACGAAACTTCTGTTAAGAAATATTACGTAACAGATACCAGTTTCACAACAGAGTGCCAAATTATGTCCGCATGTCTACGTATGTGTATTCTTCGACGGTACGTTTGTAAATGAAATTTGCAGTAGTTCGAAGCAGACTCACCCGTATACAAACAACAATTGCACCTCTACTTAGCGTGACGATAGGTAGAAGATGGTGTCGTTCCTGACGTCTTAACGACGCTAACAATAGCGGCGTGTCGCACTCGTGATACCATTCGAACGTGGTTGGTCGCATTTCACACATATTTTACTACGATGACCCGCCGAATTGTGAACGCGTTCTGCTAAATGTACATTGATCTTTTCTCTGGCCCGATATTCCTCAGTCCATTGTCACTTGATTACGTATTCTAGTATATCGAAACATATGTCATTGTCTTGTTGTCGGTGTTATTATTGGCCGTTGACGCATTCGCACGGGGATTTGGTATTAATTAGTTGTTGTCCATCGCTGTTGGCGTCGTTGTTGCTGCTGCTGCTGCTGCTGCTGTTGCTGCTGCTGCTGCTGCTGCTGTTGCTGCTGTTGTTGCTGCTGCTGTTGTTGCTGCTGCTGCTGCTGCTGCTGCTGTTGCTGCTGCTGCTGCTGCTGACTTGTAGAAGCTGCACACTATTTAGAGACACTTGAGTGATTAGTGGGTTGTCGGCTAATCGGATCCGATCGGTCGATCCGCAAATGACCGCTGCTGGAATAATTGTTTTCCATAGGGCGAAAATCACTCTGCCGTCTTGATGAATCGTTTCATCAATTAATCAAATTATACATTTTGCATGCATCATAAAAATATGGATTCAGGTATGCTTATACGGTTCGATACGTTCGGGGAAGCCTTTAGGGTCCAGTTATTCGCCCGTGTGACATTTGTGGAACGGTCAAGACGCGCCAAATGGAATATTTTCGAAAATCCTTTATAACTGAATATAATAAGATTGAACGAGAACACCTATTAGATTAATCGATCGTGTTCAATAACTATTGTATACAGGCACGTGCATTATGACAAAACGGTGCGCTGACTGCAATGGTATTCATAATGATATATACTGAAAGTGCTATATATATATTAAAATTAATTATACATCACAGTAAAAACGCTTTCATGAGACGTAATTCTGCGATGCCTGTTGTACATTTTGAAACGCAAATCATCTTCAGTCTGTATAATGGCCGATAGCATAGTGGACCGAAGTGCTTATTTGTTTTTTTTTTTGAAAAAAAAAACAGGCGATTTTCGCGAACCACCCGTTATACTATTATAATCTAG